ACATCTGTATTTTTCGAGTCTCTTGAGAGTGTGCCTGTCTCTTATACACATCTAGATGTGTATAAGAGACAGGTGTGTGTGTGTGTGTGTGTGTGTGTGCGCCGTTTTCTCTTGCTGCAGGTGTAGCCCCGGCAGGCCACCCCCTTGTTCCAAGGTTATCAGAGTTTCCGCTTCCAACGCTCGCGGGACCACAGAGTTTGCATGCACTAAGGTAGGAGGCAACCATAGAGGCACCTCTGTGCAGGACGGATAAAAAGCGCAGAGGAAATGTGTTCACGTACAGGGAATTTGAGGGAAATGCAGGAGTGCAAGGCAGGAGGACTAAGGGAGTGAACTATAAGATCCATGGCAAGGAGTATAAAGACATTCAATTTGGGCTTCGCTCCACTACTCTCGAAATGTGCAAAACGAGGGTGAATCTTTCCCTCTAACATGGAAAGATACACCGCCATGATTTTTGTCTTTTGTGCATGTCGAGAGTAGTGGAGCGAGGCATATTGAGACGACTGGAAGGATTGTTTGGAAGTGGTGTAAGTTCTGCCGAACGTGGAGAAGAGTGGGAGCATCAGTCAGGAAAGAAGGGCAAAGGTGGGGAGAATCGAAGAATTCAATCCGATGAAGGGCACCTCTGTAATTTGCAGACCCGAAGGAGAGAGGAGCGAGAAGAATGCCAAGGACGAGGAGTGAAGGAGCGAAGAAGAGAGGAAGGGACTGCATATAGAGGTGGAGATATGTGTACTAATCGAACTGAAGTATGAAAGAATATACAGAGGGGTAGCGATGTGGGGTTAAGTGCGGCTCCCCAGTGTCCCCGCCAATAGATTGGAGTTTTCCAAAAAAAAAAAAAAAGACGAAGGGGTACTGGCACAGAGAGAGAGAGAGAGAGGCATAGTACCTGTGTTTGTCATGCATGCGGTTCCATTGAATTTCTGTTCCTTGTGCATGATTCCGCCGGCAAAGAATGCAGACCCCAGACAAAGTAACATGTTGCCCAGCACTGAACCGAGTAACGACAGCTGCACGACACGAAAGAGCCCGGCCTTCAGTGCAACGATGCTCAAGATTAACTCTGGGGCATTGCTGAAAGTGGCATTCAGCAGGCCACCCACCATAGGATTTGTCGACAAGGCAATCTGCTCAGTGATGAAGCTGAGGCGCTCTGCAAGTGGAGCCAGCGGAAGCAACGAGAAGGCGAAAATCCACCCTCTGTCCATTTGCTTGGCATTCGCGTAGAACGCTACTGGTAGAAACAGCAGCAAAACGTTCAGCTTGGATCCCAGAAGCATGGAGCAGAACACATCCCTCAAGTACCGAAAGAAGCTTGTTGCACAGCATATTTGCTCATCGACATCACTAACCCAATCAACCCCCCCATTAACCCCATTAACCCCGTTAATAACCCCATTAACGCCATTCCTGGAGAAAGAAGGCAACGTTGGGAAACGTTGCTCAAGGAGAGGCTGGGTGCAATCTTCAGAGAATGATCCAGACAGCACAGGAGAGACAGGAAACGAATCCGAATGGCTACTCGATGCGGCCCGTGACACGCCTCCATATATACAACCCACTCCTATAACGGTATTGGAGCCGACACCTACGACGTTAACGTATGGATCGCTGCCGACTGTCATCTTGATCACATCGATGGACTGCGGAGTCCCTGGCTCCTCCACAGAGGTTGGAATGCTGACGTACGAATCGTCATGATGATGATTTTCAGCCGCCATATCCGTCCTGTTGTCTCTGGCCCGGGCAACACCGACCATTCCTTCGCTCCCCTCAGAACGCAAGCTATATATAGAACACTGCAGCGGAGCCTGAAACGCAAAAGTCCCCCTGGCCTCCCTTTCGCTCTCCTCCTCAGTTCGCCGCAAGCTATATATATATAGGAGCAAAAGAGTAGTTGTGGGCGTCTTAAGACCCCTCGCCAAGCTACTCTTCCCAGCAGCAGCGGAGCTGAAACGCGGTGTGCACGTATCAGCGGCGGGCGTCCTCCTGATCTCCTCCTTTCAACGACCCACCCGCCAGGAAGTCAAGGAGGAGGAGATTTGGGAGAATCAGATATTACTATTAGGCAATTTGATGGAACTGAAGATCTCTTGCAGCCAAGCCGGCGGCGAGCGCAAAATAAAAGACAGCGAATGGGCCAAGGCGGGGCTCTTTTCTCTGTCTAAAAGTATTTTGTTCTTTAAGATTCGTCTTCCTGATGCTTGCGCTCAACAGATATCCAGCAAATGCGGAAACAGGAGGAGCCTTTCTGCCATAGAAGACAGGAGCAAAAGAGTCGTTGTGGGGGTCTTAAGACCCCTCGACTGCGACAGTTTGAGCAAGCTGCCATTTACATGCTCAAAATATTCTCCGTTCTCTTTCTTGATCCCGCTCTCTCCTCTCACACCTCCTGCAATCCCATGAATGAGGCAACACTTGTGTCTGTTCTCCACGAAACATACACAACGAAAACGGAAGAATCGAGTCAATCAACAACAACACAACATGTCAACTGATTAAAATCTTGTTTGCAAGTGCCAATAGAAAAAGTTTACCTACATATTAAATAGAGACAGAGAGAGCGAGAAATGCCCCGTGAATAATGTAAGGGGAGGAAAAAACTGGGAAGAA